TTGGCTTCTTGGCTGTGTTCTAACCTCTAAAGGACCCCAGCATTTGGAATCCACTGCAGTTGTATCAAATTGGTAATGACAAAGGGCATGGCAGTATTTTTAGCTTTCTAACTGTTGGGGGCAAGGGAAAAGAAATTATCAGAAGAGCCTGGGGTTTTGAACTTTGATATTTGGAAAAAGGTACCAAATTAGGGAAGTCTTAACAAAGAGGTGGTTGTATAGATAAAACTTGGAAATGGACTATGCATGCAAGTTCAAATTTCCATTTAACAGGTGGAAACACTACTGAACTCTGGGAAAAATGGACAATGGGAGTGGGGATAGCATAGAGAGAGATTAGAAAATGACTGAAAACATAATCTTGGTGAATATTCTATCTTTAGTGGGGAAGAGGAGTCAGGGATTGATTTTCAGGAGAGGAAGAGTCAAGTAAAAGGGAAACGATTTTACATGTCACAAAATGCAAGAAAGGAAATACTTTCAAGAATACACAAGGAAATTTTCTGTGTAGTGGGGAACATTTCTTTATTTTGATTAAAGGAGGTCAGGAAATGAAATGGCTTTAAATTGTGTTTCTTTGTTTATATGCCATTGGTTCAAATATTGCTGAATGCTGCCTAAATTTTGTAATATTTTATAAAACCTTTTTTCTTAAGGAATGTTATATAAAAAATATCAGCTAATATTGCTAATTGGAGGAAAATTGTTTGCTTCAACCATACATTTGCAGTTCAGATGTGATTGACTCTAATTTTCCTAATTGTAAGGTCTTGGCCCTTCAAAGGAGGGCCTCTTATTTTATCAAATGATCAAAATATATCTTACTTTTTCTTTTCGTAGAAAAGTTTCTTTTGATGCTACAATCAGTAAAGAGGGCATTTGCTATTGATTCTAGTCATCCCTGGCTTCATGAGTGTATGATTCGACTCTTTAGTACTGGTATGTTTTTGTTTTCCATTACTTAAGTATTTGATACAGTAGTTGATAGTGACTATATAAGTGATCTGTATAAGTTTATCATAAACTCAATGATTTTAAAGCTGTTGTATATTAAATTAGCCAAGGGGGAAAGTAGGGCTTTTTTTTTTTTTTTTATGATGATGGTCTTTATTTTAAGACTATAAATGTTACCTGATTTTGACATAGAATTGTTGAGTCCAGGTTTTTGAGAATCCCCTTTGTTTCTGTTTCTAAAAAGTTACCTGTAAGTTGAAGTTTTGAATCATATTTCGTTATGTAAAGTTTCTTAGGAAATTGTTTTAAAATTGGAGAATCTCTTTGA